CTCAGATGCTCATCTTGGACTCTAGCTGTCCTCATATTATTGAGCTTCTGACAGACCATCCTTTCATCTTGGTCTCAACACTACTTCCTCAAACAATGCTTTGTCTCCAATAGCCTTCAACTGTGCCCATAGTACTTCCATGGTGACCTCATCTTGAGTAATAAGAAATGTGGCAGCTTCTGAATCCCAAGGGTCACTACTAGGGCTAGGTTGTGGAGATGCCTTTCTCAGGTAACAAGGCTGGATGGCTGTGAGTCACTGATGCTGAAACACTGGATTAGTAAGGAGTTCAATTACAACTGGTGGGCAGATGTAAGCTACAGACACCAAGCCTTTGAGATAAGGTAGGATGCAGCCAATAGAGATAGCATTGCCAGCTGGTTCTGTATTAGAAAGTGTGGTTGGCATGATGAGATACTCAGCTCTAGGATCAAGACTATATGTGTGTTGGTGTGTGAAGGTTTATTCAGTGAAGGTAATAGGTGACTCCAGGGCTGGAAGCTTATCTTTGTCATCCTGCTCCAAGTCTGCAGATGCAGATGTCTCCTCAGGCTTGTCCCCAGAGGCTACAAGGGTAGTGGTAGGGGAAATGTCAAGGTATCGCCCTGATACTTGACTCCAAGCAAAAACCCTAACCCCAAACACTCACTGTTGGTGCTGGTGGCTGATATAGACATTTAGCTGAGGGGTTGGTTGCTATAGGAGCTGGTAGGCCCAGAGTAGAGTGGAGTAAGTTGATGAGAGTAGACAAGTATATAGATGAGGAGGTATTGCCTATCTTCCTGCTGGATTATGATGTCATCTATGGTACTAGGTACTGGATGACTAAACCCTTGGGATATCCCTATTTCAACTATCCCTGGTACTGCCCTAGATCATCACACTGGATGTCTAGTCTGGCACAGGTTTTTAGTCACACTGACCAGGCTCACCACCTAACCCCTGGATACCCTGAACATAGAAGATACCTGGTCTCTCAACACTGACCCTTGACCTAGAGTTTTCACCACTAACCCAGACTCCTGAACCTGTGGTAACCCTCCTGGTCCCTAAGAGGGGAGATCTTGCATATCTTAACCCACCCTATGGTGAGGGTAGTCGAGAGTATAACAAGTCTTCCCTCTCAATGCTGTATTGCTCTGGTATTTATACATGAGGGACCAGACCCTAATACTACTGGTAGTACACCTAACACCTGGGCTGACTGATGCTCTATATATGCCATTGGCTATCTAAGAATACCTGACATGTGAACACTCTGCCTTGTGTTGAGTCAGTAGCTCAACAGTGATGATCACCTGAACAGCCATGTGTGGTTCTAGTGCTGATGGGGATATTTGACAGCCTTTCCCAATTGATAGACTAACCACCTGACTAGTAACATGTCACCATGCATTACACTATCCTTATCTAGTGAGATATCTAATCCAATCAGATGTAGATCATCTAAGCACTAAGATAAGATAGACATCATGAAATTCTGTGACAGGGAACATGATATGAACTATAGTGTTGGTCAGATTCTGGAGTAGAATGAACAACTTCCACCACATCAATAGGCTTGGCAGTGGACATGGTGACATCTCATGTAAGCTTGTGGAACTCATATATTATGTTGTCTAGAGTCATGACTCCAATGTAGACATTCTTGTCACTAGTAGGGGATACTAGCTTCTTGTTGCAGCTATCACTGAGAGGGGACATAGGTGGTCTGGCCACTGGAAAAAGGGAGATTGATGGTCAGGCCTTGGAGTCTGGCACACTGGTATGTGAGCCATTCAGGTGTTTCTTTGATGGCATGCTGTGGGAGTGGTCAAGTATGGCATGAGATCATTGGAGGAGAAGGAGAGGAGAGTTGTTCTCCCAGAGAGTGATGAGTTCCTTCATCAAGTAACATGCTGGGATGGAATGCAAAGGGGGTAGATTCACTTCTGACCTCCTGAGTCTCTTGCAGTCATGCTCATTGTGCTTTGTACAAATCTGCTTGTCCAATGACCTCTTCATATTCTGGTTTCTGAGTAGACTGTTGGTGGTGGTTGTCTATATATGCATTTGAAAATCAAGTAGAGTCACAAATAAAATAGGAAGAGGAGCCAAAAGGAATACAGGAATTTGTGCATACTATGGACAAAGGGTATCACCAGTTTCTACACTTAGTTAATAGGGTCCTTGATGTACTCAAAGTACACCACCCTATCTGATTAGTTTTGCTCTCAGTGAGCAGCAATTATTAGGATGTTGTTGATTGTGGGCTGGATCAGACATTGGAAGGCGGTGGCAAGGTTGATCACTCACAAATGCTCCTTCTTGAGGTGCTGGATGGTGGTGCAAAGGATGAAGGGGATGGAGAGAGCAAGGGCCAGGATGGCAAGGAAGGTAAGGAGGAGGCCCAGAAGAGCAGTGAGGAGGAGGCTGCTGTTATCTATGCTGCACTCCACTGGTCTGGTTAGAATAGAGATTTTACAATGTTGTGAGGAGGGTTTTCTTTTCATCTTGCTCATCCACTTCCAGACCCTGTACTATCTATTCTCAGACAATTTTTTTCTTGATGTGTATCATCTCCACCATCTATCAGTTTCATCCATATCTAACTATCACTGTTCATCACTGATTCATTTCAGTGTTTGCTCCCATCACTCCCATCTATCAGTCCTTGATTCAATTCCTGTACTGATACATCATTCTATTTGCATCAATGGAACCCTATGATATTTCCAATACCTCTGTCTATTTAAGATGTAGCTACAGCCTCATTGTACTTTAGTTTTGTCCTCTTGTTTCTACATATACTTCATAGGGATATCTAGCAATAAGAACCCAGGTGTTCTTCATCTGCTTCACTCAGTTTGTGCTCTCCAACTTCCCCTGCTAGGGAAGCTTAGCTCAGTTTGTTAAGGGACCTAACAACTGAGGATCAGGAGTTCAACTTATAACTGATACTGGTACTGATACTGATACTGATACTGATACTGATATGTGTAAGGCTGGTGTGTTACACTTGTACTAGACTTGTAAACTGAGCCACTGTAGCTAACAGTGGTTTGAGAATGTATACTGGTTGAAGCCGAGCTTCAGACTGAGACTGAATAGACAACTGAGTCTATTACTGAAGATGTCGTCATGAAGTGTATGTAGGGAACAAGAGGACAAAACTAAAGTACAGTAGTGCA